GGGAGAGAACGGCCGGGCGGCGGTTCCCCGCCAGGTCCGCGGCTTGTCCTCTGCCCGGGGCTGAGGAGGGTGAGGGCTGGCTCGGGCGGGTGCCGCCGCCGCCCGGGGCGGTGAGCCCTGGGTGGTTCCCCCGTGTCGTCTGCTCGGTTGCCGCCGCTTAAAGCGACGTCTGACCCGGCTCTCTGGCCGTGGGCCTGGCCTCTGCTCGCCCTCAGCTTTCCCGGCCCCCTTCGCCGGTAATGGGGGGCGACGCTCCCTGCCCCGCTTTTCCCAGAGGAGCTCTGGTGGAAGACAAGTCCTCATCGGGTTTGTGCCGTTTGGCATCTCCAAGCTTCTGACCCGGGAGACGGGTGGCGCTGCCTTCATCGCTCCTCGTCCGTCAGGGCATCCCGACCTCGAAAGGTGGTGGAGGCCTACGAAGCCACCGCCTGGGGCTGCTGAAGGCGGGAAGGGGAAAGGAGCAGTCTCAGCCGCATCACAGCCTGTGTGGCAGCACGCAACGCGGCTCAGGCTGGGCGCCAACAAGACAAACTGCAAATCTTATACTATTCTGTGTGTCCATTTTGCCTGTGGGTGTCATGGTGTGAGTGCTTGAGCAGGCTTCATGCTCCCAAGTTCAAATTCTAGAGGCTGGCAGGGTAGGAAGCGAATGAAGCTGCTTGCTAGCTGCCTAGCGAATTGCTAGCTGCCCAGCGAAAGAGCTCCGGCACCTTCCACCCGCTGCTGCCTGCTCGTGGGCCAACAGAATGGCAGGTGGTGGGTTAGGAGCTGCGTTTCGCCTTTGGTGGGGCACTGGTCTGCCACCATCCAGAGGCGGCAGCTCCTCTATGTGCACAGGTGGGGTTCAGTTACTCGCAGTATCCAAGTTGTTTTGTTCCTTCACATACTGTTAGTTTTTCTTCTTATTTACAGTTTTCTGAAAAAATGGGAACTTTGGTCCCTGCACCAGCAACTTTTCACGTGTCTTCTAGAGTTTCCTAGTGGAGTGGTTTGGGGTTTTTTTAAGTGTTTCAGTCAAAAAATGTTGGCGTTCTTAATTCACATGGTGTTTAGTTTCATATTCAAATCAACTGTTGAGATTTAAAGCTAAATTTGAAAACAATTTTTGTACCCTAATTGAATTATGCTCTTTTTATGATGAGGACCTGAAATTCCTTTAAATAGATAATAGGAGTGAGAACTAATGGCTTTACTTTGCATGGCCAATACGGTTCAGCAGTACAGTTAAGCCAGTCTCTTGGCTGAGCAGAGTCATCCTGGTTCTGCATCCTCCCTTGTCTTGGCGTTTGCTCTTACCCGACCTCCTGCTGAGCTGGTTCAGGGAAACAAAGCAAAGCACCTTTCCTAACGTCCACAGCTTTTGCTGCCATAGCTCCTCGAGCTGGCTTGCCTTGTGGTCAGATAAACGTCAGCATCAGTGGGAAGGGATGGTTAAGACCTTAGGTTGGTTTAGCTGTGTCTTCAGCTGCACCACTGATGGAAAGGGAACAAAGGATAAATGGTGGATATTTTAATTGAGATGCTTTATTACTGTATTTTCTGATGATGTTGCATGTTTGAGATTGCTTCAAAACCTGTCTTTTGAAACAGGTGACATTTTTTTAAAGACCTAAAGTGGAGCCTCCAAAGGCCACATGAGAAACCAGAGATGTACAGTGCAAAAGCACAACTGCAATGCAGTACAGGTTTCCCTTGCTGTCAGAATATTTCAGTAGTTTTTTTTTGATTTGTAAAACATGCATCTACATATGAACTGAATAACTTTTTCAGCTAAGTGCCTTCTAAGATCATTAGCATCCCTAGAGGTTTTTTTGTCAGTATGCACCAATTCATCTTTGGAAGGAAGGTGATCACCAAGTCTGCCTTTGAGGCCAGAAAAAAAATTATGCTTTATAGTCTCTTCAGGTCGTTTCTGGAAGAAGGTGGTTCTGAGCTGGTTGGCAGAGGAAAGTAGTGGCCTTGTGGTCTTTTTACACTTGGAAAATCCGCAATAAATGTGCTCACTAGCAACACGGACTCTATTTACTCTATTACTCAATATTTACTCTAGGGGCTGAAGCTGGGTTTTAATCTTCTATCTCAAGCTGGTTTAGATGCTTGATTAATAATATAATGTAATAGGGCAGTTCTGCAATCAAGTTTTAATAAAATCAAAGTAAAAAATTTTTTTAAATAAATTATGACTAATAAATACAGGTGAAATTGTGTTCACCAATAACAAAGCAAGGTGAAGATGTAACGCAGTCTTTTTTGACCAGTGACTTAAAATCTCTAGTTTTGCTGCATACGGTTGTGTAGAGAGCCCTGCGTGTAATTACAGATGTGTCTTTACTCCACTGAGTATGAATTAGAGATGTAAAAGTTAGAAAGGACTTGGATCATCAACTTAAAGCAGAATTGACAAATCCATTGTTGCTCATATGCACTGTTAGCCCTTGCTTACTGTCTGCGTACAGTCTGTTAGCTTCCTCTCTGCACTGATCTTTCACATGGAGGGGAAAAAAAAAAAAAAAAAAAGACAAGAAAAGCACTTGAAAAGAGAAAGGATAATGACATGGAAAGGAACCTCAAGACCTCAGGCCGGTAACAGGGTGCATGAAGCAACTTTGAACTCCTTTCTGAAACTTAAAAGAGGGCCCTGACTAAAGCTTTATTAAATATCCGTCAGTGAGCTCAATGCATCTGTAATACATCACTGAGTAGGTTTGTACAGCTCGTGGTCCCTCTAAAGAGGTCCACATAATTATGCTTTTAGCTTTTTATTTCTTCTAGTAGATACTGTGGAGGAATAAAGCAAGGTGATTATGTTAATAGTTTATTTATGAAGCTTTGCAGCAGGTTCATGAGAACAGTTACGTGCTTTTTCCTACATAAAAAAAATATAGCTCTAGGCCAAGATTTCTGTGAAACGAAGGCATATCGTAACTCTTACTTCTGTTCTTGTTTTCTCAGACGCTAATGTACGCGCTCTTAAGCTTGCAGAATGGCATATTTTGAGTTTCAGTCCTGGCTTTTCATATATCTTATCGATGTAATGGAATCTGTTATTATACAGTACATAAGAATAAATTTTGTGTTAATATTTAATATGATGCTCAGGGAAAACAGGAAGCTGCTGAAGCTCTCGGTTATGCTCTGGATTTCTAAAACTCCCTGTACAGTTGTGGTGACAGTAGGTCATTTGTGTTGAGCTGGAAGGTTTCCCCAGGAAGGACTGCCTTGGGTCTGCAAGCTGAGTGAGCTGGGGCCGGAGCCATCACTGAAGTGTGGAGCTTCCCTGGGTACTTGGTGCTTGCTGTGACTCAGTGGGATTTATTTTAGAATTCAGTCTTAGAAACTGGGAACAGTCCGAAAGAAGCATGGGGAGGGGGGTGGGGGGGAAGGTTAAACAGACTGAGAGTGTTTCCCTACTCCAGATTGTCTTGAGTGGTAATTGATTAACACAGTTTAATACATTTCCAAAATGAGTAGTCATACCCTTAAGAGGAATGCAGGCTGGTGTTCGCAGGTCAAACAAAACAGTCTTGTCTGTCTCTTGGCAGGGGGGGAACATGAGATATAATAACTAAAATCCAAAACTCTACTCTTACCCAGTAGTGGGGCAAACAGACTTGTGCTATTGGAGTGTGCTGGCAGAAGATTCCCTCTTTATTTTGCACTTCAGAGGCTGGTGGCCTCTTGGCCATTGCCACGTGGGGAGCCATTACCAGTCCCCTCCTGCCTTACCACAGGTCTCACCTGACCTTAGCACAGGTCCCACCAGTTGCAGCCTGAGCTGCCTGTTCAGCTTTCTTCCTAGTCCCATCAGGATGTCGTTGTCGCCGTCCTCTTCTGCACACTGATTTCTGGCAGTGTTCTGGAAGGTGGTTTATCAGTTATTTAAATCCTCTCTCTGCTCTGTGCATGATTTACTATAAGGAAATCAAAGCTCTTACTCTTTTAAGAATGACTTTTAAATGGCAAAATCACCGTGGTAAGCATCTGTCAAATTATGTAGCAAATGCTAGACAAGTAAGAAATAGATGAATCCTCCTAAGTCCCAAGAAAATATTGCAAATGGAGTGGGGTTTTTTTAGCTCGGTGGATATAATCATTATTTCTTCTCTCTGTCTAACCCTGAGGTAGTGTAGCTTGGTCGAAACTTGAAAAGGAAGGCGAGTTATGTTGCAAGGGTATTTCTCAAGTTAAATCTCTTGAACTTGGCATGCTGTGTCATGGGTGGCAGAGACGTACATCAGCTATATATGTACAGAGTGCTGATCTAATTGTTTCACTTTTGGTCTCAGAAATCCACATATTACTGCAATTGTTTACTGAATTCTTCTTTTGGTTTCCCAGATCTGCACAGTAACCCTGAATTACTAAAGATTATTCAGTTATGTTCTGATGTGCTTTTAGCTGTCCATACTATGCCTGTGGATATTAGTGCAAAAGATCAGATTATTAAAATTAATAAATTACGGCATTGGTCAGTCGCTGTTATGCCTTTTAATTGTCTGGTTGGTTGTTTTTAACAGGGATTTAACAGAATCCCTGTTAATTCTACATACAGACAAATCTGAATGTGTTAGCTTTATATCTTTGCCAGTGACAAAGAGAAAACAAGTGGGTCTGATGATATACAATAGGAGGGGAGAGAGATTTTAGACCATGTAAATTAGCACTAAATCTTCAGGTATTGTTTTCTGTAGTTTTCTGTTAGATGGTGAAGAACGTGGAAGCATGTGTGAATTGTCCAGAAGCCCTGTTGGTAACCTGGCAGATGTTGCTGTGGAGACAGCACCTTCCACAGAAAGTAATTTGAAAGGGAGCTAATAAGAACTGATTGTGCAATGATGAATTAAATAAAACATACCAATCACTTTGATTAACGGAGATGTTAGAAGAGGACAGCACTTGCCAGAGCTCAGAGTGTTTGCTTTTGCAAACAAACTTAAATTTCTACAGAGTTTGCATCCAGAAAAATGAACAGGAATGTTAATTTTTGTTTCATTTTTGAAACTACATTTCTTTGTAGCTTAACCTTTCTATCTTTTCGTGTTCCACATGAAACATTTCTCATCAATTTAAGGATTGTAAATTTTATGCTGGAAAAATGACACAAAATGGTTAGTGTTTTGGTTGTGGAATTTAATGCACGCTAAGAAGACACAGTTTTGATAGGTTTTAAAAGATATTTCTTTGGGTTTGTCTGTTGATCACCTGTCTTTTAGTTAATGTCCTTTACTGAATCAGAAGTTTGTCTTTCAAATATCGCACAAAGCTTCAAATCTGTTTAAAAAATCCTAAGGTTGAAGAGCTGTCACTTTCTCATAGGGCAGGTCACTTTCTCTTTATTGCTTGCCCTCACCCCGGCTGTAAAATCTATGCACAGAAATGTCCTTTCCATTGCTGTCCTGGTTAAGAACTGAGAACTAAACCTATTTCTAGGTTTCAGGGATTAGCACTCGACTGCTGTGAGGTGTCTTAATCCCTCTGTGGCTAGGCACGGGAGGGCTCTCAGAAGCACAGCCTTCCCTAGCCGCGCTGGCAAGTCGCTTTGGCTCCTTCCCACTGCTCTGGCATCCTGCTTGCTCGGGCTGTGGCATCTCTGCCGAGGCTGTCTGAGAGACTTACTGTGTCGTGGTGATGTGAAACACAAACCCACGTGTCTGTAGGTGGTTTTATTGACTTCTGACCGCTGTAGTGGTTTTCTGATGCTGTTGCTGATGGCAGTGTGACCCATCCAATTAGCTAATGAGTTGCATTGTTTTATCTTGTGCTGTCCTTAAATGTGTATAGCAATGGTTGAAGAAAAAAAAAAAAAAGGTACAATATTAAAACAGAAAGCAGATCAAGAGCGGCCTGCCTGTTGCTCTGCTTGGTAGCAGCAGTGTTAGGCCTGGCTTGGTTCCTATTTTATATTTCGCTTTGGAGAACATAAATGATGAACATAAGTGGCTTTGCTTTCACTTCTTTTGTGTTTCAAAGGGATTCTTTCATGTTTGCATCACTTCTAAAACTAAATCATGACAAGGATTTGAAACGTGGTAGATGCTCATGTTTTGCAACACAAAGCTCTCTTCTAAATGCAAGTTAACTGTCATTCTAAACTTTGATTTTTATTCTAGTGTTTGTAAAGTACTTCTTTGTATAAATACGTATATATATGTGTGTGTGTGTGTATACCTTATATACACACACAAATAAATGTTACAGCGGTAGTTTTTAACTCAAAATGACTGGTAAAGTTCTTCAGCCATTCTTGTTTTATGGGCGTATTTAGCATTCATGTTTGTGGCCTTTTGGGTAGTGTTATGCAAGCCATCGCCTCTGTTTCTTCTTCTGACTGCTGCAAGTTAGTAGGGGTTGGGGGAGGGTTAAAACAGTTGAGTTTTCTAAAATGGTGTTGGAAGCAGGTGGTAAAATGAGCTGCAACTTCTCAGTATGAGCAAAGATGGCATAATGTGAAAGAGAATGGCAGATGCAGTCCTGAAGTAGCTGTTCCTCAGGCTTGCCACTTTTAAACACTTTGGGCCCTTTTTTCAAACTGTGATTACTCTTAAACTGCTCTGCAAAGTATTAGGGCGGGAGGGAGGATCATCTTTACTTACTTAAAGTGTTCTTTACTTACGCTGATTTGACTGATTTGCTGTTTCTAATTTTTATTCCAGTGAAAGCTGGTGGGATGCGGATCGTGCAGAAACACCCACATAATTCTGATGCCAAAGAAGAAAAAGATAAGGATGACCAAGACTGGGAAACCAGCAGGTGAGCACTTTGATTTCACACATGTGCTACAGCAAATTTCTATGACCTTGAACCTTATCACCAGTTTGTTTTCCTTGCAGATAGCAAATCAACTATACAGTAGTTCTTGTATCATAAAAATTGATTTAAAGTGGTACCAAGTTATATGCTCCGTTAAGAGAATTGGGAAATTTGGGAATTTTTACATTTGCTGAGCCTCCTTTAAATGGTCCTGCCCATAAGAGAAGGTTAGAGAAGAAAGTACAGTTAAAGTAAAACATCAGCTTTTCTAAAATCTCTGAACGTTATTTCAGACTGTGCAGAAACAGAGAGGCTAGGCACATTTGGACACAAGCATTAGCCTGGCAAACTGTGTATGATGTGGTCTTGCTGTGTGGTGGTTGATTCCTTCTGCCTTTTGGCCCATACTCCTTTCTCTGTGAGGTATTTGACAATATGGTGCTTTTAAGAAGACAAGTACAAATAAATGCTATGATTATTATCTGCTTTATTTTAGGTGGAAATCTAGTAGTTTTAGTGGTGGAGGATACCAAGGCAGACAGCAGTTACTTAGCAGTTTTAACTAGATTTATCAGGTAACTGCTGTGTAGAAATGAAAGCAGAGAGGTTCAATGGACTGTTGCTGTATTCATACAGAAACCACATGGTTTTCTGCTGCTTTACTTGGCTAGTGGTTTGTCTTTGTAGCCAAGATTATATTTACCTGAAATATTTATATACTAGCTTACTGTTTGTCCTTGCTATTTGCTCAGTGCAAAAGAAAGAGAGCTGTTCTTGTGCTTTGGTAAGTAGACTGACTTATATGATATTTATTTTACATGTAAAACAATGGTAATAAATAAGCATTGTGAAAATGTTGTTATAAATAAGAACAAATGTATTTATTTACTAAATCACAAGTTGAATAGGAAACACGTTTGAGAAGGAAAAAGTAATTTTAATATATTCAAATGAAAGGCAGGAAAAAGAAACTTTATGCCACCTCATTAATCAAGTTGGTCATCTTGTATTTCTATTGTGGCATGTAAGTTAGAACAGAGTCTGTACTGCAGTCAAGATTTGTCCAAACAAAAGTATTGTATCTTGTGGTTCATATCCTTTTATTTAAGGTGTGCTTGTGGTGGATTGATCTTGGGTGGATGCCAGGTGCCCACCAAGCTGCTCTATCACTTCAGCAGGTTGGGAGGCAGGAGAAAATAAGACGGAAGAAACTTGTGGATCAAGATAAAGGCAGTTTAATAAAGCAAAAACAAAGGCTGTGTGCGGAAGCAAAAGAGAGCAAAAGATTTATTCTCTACCTCCCATCGGCAGGCGATGTGCAGCTCTAGAGCTTCAGTATGTGTAGCAGTTGCTCTGAAAGACAAATGTCATAGTAACAAATACTGCCGCGCCCCCCCTCCCCCCCCAGCCCCTTAGCTTTTATTGCTGAACAGAGGTCATATGGTATGGAATATCCCTTTGGTCAGTTTGGCTCAGCTGCCCTGGATATGTCACCCCAGCCTACTGGTGAGGGGGGCAGTGTTGGAGAGACAGGATGCTGTGCCAGTGCTGCTCAGCAGCAGCCAAAACACTGGTATGTTATCAACACCTTTCTAGCTACCAATACACTGCACAGCACTGTAAGGGCTGCTGTGGGGAAAATTAACTCCCATCTCAGCCAGAAGCGGTACAGTGTTATATACCTGCTTATTCTTACATTTCCTTGCCCTGACAACCTTATGGTGACAGAATCTCATTAGGATCCAAATGAGAAGACTTCTTGTGCCTCTTCACAGATCTAAACCCCTGTTACAATATAGCTATCTGCTTTATTCCTTTCTTCAGACAAGATTAGAATTTTCCCCTCTCAGTCAAATACTGTAGGGAAAAGTTTAAATTTCACCTCGATACTCATGGCAGTGTCTGCTTTAGCAGGTGCTGTGGCACGATAGAAGCAGATCTGTGGAGGGAAACAGTTGGTGCCAAGGACTTCATGTCCACACTGGGTATGTTTTGGAGGTTACTTAGTCTGGTTGTCTGGATTGAAGGACCAAGCCCAGCTGGCACGTATTAGGTGTCTTCTTGGACTACATGTTCAGATTAGCGTAATCTGCAGGGAGTCCATGTCAGGTTCCCTGAGACCAGCCCACAAGGCAAAACAAAGCCCAGCCGACAGAATGATCGGAAAGGGGAGTACACTCTGGATTTTAAGATACTAACAAATATGCACTGTATATTAATATTGTAAAGCAGGTCCGTGAGCAATTTACTTGCTTTAAAGGTAGAGGAGAAAGTTTAATGACCTCTAGAGCTACTGTATTAACTAGGGAATAGTTAGTGGTTGCACCTCATAAAGTCCATTCCCTCAGCCATCTGATCAATTTTTTGTCAAAATAGGCACTTAGAGCGCGCTCTTCACTTTGGCTTTCTTGTAGAGGATACGTTATTGGTCTGTATTAGGCACTTGTGCATGTAGTTATTTCAGGCCTGTGTATTAATACAAAATGCATTCATTGGTCTGAACTTTTTATTTTTTTGATTTAATCCTCTTGAGAAAGAAAGCAGTAGGAGGGACAGAAGGAACACAGTTAGATGGGAAGCAGCATGAATTATAAAACAGAAGTTTGTTTACAAGTCTGAGAGAAGTTGTTTTCCTGGTAGAACTAGGAAACTTTTGTGTCTGAGGGAAAGAATTTTATGTGACTGTTGTAGGCTCCTGTGGGAATACTTGTATAGCTCTGGTGGCTGTACAAGCTGTAAATGTGAGCAAGAAGTTACTTAGCCATAGACAGAATAAGCAAACTCCACAAGCCATAGTACATAAACTTCTTCTGTTTGTCAAAATTAAATTACATTTGCAGCATGTCAGCTGCTTTTGCGCTGGGAGGTGCAGTCCCCTGGAGTTTCTGTTCCTCGTGATTCACAGTGCCCTTCTAAAACATCTGGATTTCTGATGCCTGTGGAGGTAGGTTTATCAGGAGATGGGGACAGGTTTGTCAGGAGGGAGAGAAGAGGCCACTAGCATTCTGTTCTGTTTTCTCCAGCACCAATACATACATACTTTTTGGTCTTTGCTAGTTGATATTTTATGTCCCTTTGCTAAGCAGATGCAGTGGTTTTAGCTTTCTACTCTCATGTGTTTAGTCTTTGTCATTTTAAGTAGTATGCTTGATCTGATGCAATCTCTACTCTGTATTACATTCAAAGTCAAAAGAAGCAAACAGCCCTTCAGGCAATTCATAATCAGGTGATATGGGCATTTTACAGTGATGTGAGAGAGAATAGTAAGACAGAGAAATTTGTGTGTGTGTGAAGAGGGAGACTAGGATTGAGTGATTATTTTAATCTCATTGCAGGTTTAGTTGAGGACAGATTAGTGGAATTGGCAGTAAATTGAGGCAGAAGATTTTCAGTTCTCCCAGAGTTCCTTGTGAGCTCCAAGAGCACATGTCCTCCCCATGATGGTACAAATCTAAGCAGCTGCTCAGCAAGAAAGCTTTCAGCTAGAGTTCACAGAAGTATTTGTGGCTTTGGGGACAGCTGGCATTGTTTTTGCAGTGTGCTTGCAGAAAAAAGACATTGGGTCAGTGTTTCTAGTCTTAATGTAAAAAAAAGGTGATATAGGTAAACACCCCTGAAGTAGCTAACTGTGCTGTGATAAAGGTGACTTTAATATTCACTAGGTGTATCTTCTGTAACACTTCTTTTTCTCAGTTGTTCAGCAACTTGCAAACCAGTTACTGTAATATACTCTGCAAAGTATTTTATTCAGTTCTGTTTCCTAAAATAAAATTGTTACGACAACCTACCATTTCATGGTAGGCTGACTTGTTATAATGGTGATTTGTGATCTCTTAAAACAATATGTGGTAAGATGATTTTATACAAATTTAAACTTTTCCTACAATGCAGTTCTCAGCCTTGAGTAGTAATGGAAATATTTTTATATGACTGGTATAAATATAGTTTTACTTAGAGGAATGGCTGGATACTATTATATGGAGAAGACTCAGTGAAAGAAGAGAGGGGTTGCATCATTTCGTTTAGGTGAACTAAAAAAATGTGTGGCATCCAAAGCCAGTGGCACTACTGTGGTCAAGATGTCAGTGGTAGACTTGACTGTGAGGTGAAGTCCTTGGCCCAAATGTTCTTGAAGATAATGGTGATTTTGATCAGCTTGGTTGGAAATAGGCTACTGGCTGGCTGAACTTCTAGTCTGATCTGTTACTGATTTTCTTAATGTTTCTGTAGTTAAGACTTGCTTTGATTTGCTTTTGGATATGGCTGCAATTTTGATTGATTGACAGTCATACTGATTGCTGCCGGAAGGTATTTTTTGTAATGCTAGATGAAGGTGAAACATATCATTAGAAGTAGCATTATGAATAGAAACCATCATTTTTGAGGACTGTATGTTGTCGTAGAAAATATTTGGAATAAGTAGGCTACTTACAGTCCTCGGCTTTATTAGAAGCCCATTAATGCAATATCCTGTTCACTCCTGTGCCAGCATCTGACTCTAGCCATAATAAACACTCCTGAAAGACAGATAATTTGAAGTGAGAGCTGCTTGTTCAGTTTTGCACAAGAGCTTCATTAATAGTCTCTCTGGGACCTCAAGAACAAGAAACTGTAATTAAATATCAGCATCTGAATTTAAAAGAAAAAAAAATTAAAGCAAAAACCTGGTTTATTTTGTTTTCTAACAGGGTAAACTGCAAAGTCTTTCATGTTTAAAGACTCCTCTTTTGTTATATTTTTGAAACAAAGTGGCTAATCACAGTGATTTAATTATCAAATGTCAAGGCAGTAGAGTGATTTCTCAGTATGCATATATAAATTGTATGTGTTTTGTATCTTAAACTTACTTGGAGGTTGTGAATTCAGCATTGTCTGACTTTCCCATTAGCTATATTCACTGGGCAAAAGAAAAATAATTAAAAAAAAAGAGATAATTTAGAATATGGTGACTCAAAAGAAAAATCATGCTAATGAAGCATAAGGGTGTCTGTATGTCAAAA